GTAGAGCATGGGAAGCTGAAAAGTCCTTGGCTAGTGTAAGCATTACCTAGGCAACAACTAAACATCAGTGTGTTATCAGCTTTGTTCTCATCCTAAATCCAAAACACAGCACTGTACCAGCTACTAGGAAGGAAATTAACTCTATCCCTGCTGAAACCAGGACAGGACAGTAAGATACTTCTGTGAACTCTGCACTTCCAAGATACTCACATGAGACTTGGTGAGGGGGATTTCCAGACATGTGCACACAATAACCCATGCACATTAATCTGAGACCTCCCATCCAGAATAAGGCTACCGAAGATCCCAAAATCCCCAGCAAGTGAGAAATTTCCCTCACTCTGTCCTGATGAAAGATTTCTAAGTAAAATTAATGACAGTTCAAAACTACTGGGAATGGAGGTAGGGTAACTGATGGCACATGCAAATGTGATCTAAATCATCTATGTGATTTAGACTTTCTAAATAGACTGTCTTTATACACTTGTCCTGGACAGCAGATACCACAAAAAACTTGTAGAGGTTCATCTAGGGCTGAATGAACCAGCACCCGACACTGTCGGCAGTTGTGGTGGTTTGGTACAGAGCACCTCTGCAGTCCTAGAACATCCACAAGCACTAACTTCTCTTAAACAACTGGAAGATGCAAAATCACCGTTTTTGTTTTTTTTAAGACAGACATAGCCTTTCTGCCAGCTCTTGTCTTCTTCAGAAAAGATTACTTCTTAGTATGTCTTTAGTAAAGAGGCATCGGTTGTGCATAATAGATCTCATTATCTTTGAATTAGCCATTAGTATCTTTCAGTGATGAACAGATACAAATATTAAATACAGATAAACGTTACATGGAGAAGTTGAGTATTAGAGTCCATTTCTCGAGGGCAGAATTCTTCTCCCTCTGTGAGTAGTTGCTGCACTGTGCTGGAAAAAATCTGCAAACTACTGGAAATAGTTTCAAACACTATAAGGATTTACATACAGTGTAAAAAACCAATAAACTAAATCTTCCAGAACACTTGTGAAAAAAAATTATACTGTATCTGTGTTCTTTAGTAGGCTCTGCAGATTTTTTTAAGAGTCATTTAAAAATAAAATCCAAAAGAAAAAAATCATATTTTCTCTTGTTTGGAAAGTATTTGCAGTTGTATTTCTTGTGTGTGAGCAAAAGATGGATTTTTCAGGTGAGAAAAAATGTAATTTTTAGTGTGAATATGGACAAGAAGTTGTGCTTTTTATCCTGACCTCTATGTTGCTCTTTTGCCATGAAGAAATTCATAATGCTTTTACTGTACTAGTCAATTGTTCTGTAAGTGATCAAAAATAAAAAGAATTTGGAGAAACTTGGAAGAACTGGTACTGTTTAATTGTCTTGTTACAGTATTTATTTTGATAAATACTATCAAGGCATGCCGTTTAAAAATAATAGAAAGTAACTATCCTGAGGAACTAAAAAACTGAGGCTATAAAAAAAACAGAACAGGTGAATTAGTCAAAATTTGAAGGCCAAGGGAAGACCTTTGGCAACACGAACAGTTAGCAGTTTTTTCCTACTCACTACTTACAAGCCCATATTGCTTCTCTGAACAACATAACAAAAAAAGGAAAAAAAATAAAGCCCTAAGAAGAGATTTGAAAACCCCACAAAATAATGGCTATGCAAATTTGGTCATGGATTTTTTTTCCCCACTTTTAATGGGCAGGGTGAGGAATCACTCAGAAATGTTTGAGAAGCAAACCAACAGCTGCAAAAACCCTGAGCTTTAAAAGCATCTTTCCTAAAGCTTCAAATCCAGAGCACTCGGTATAAGTCCATATCTATACCTGAAATGTAATAAGTGCCTTGTTCTTTCATTTTTGCTGTCCTTTTGAGGATTCATGCAAATGTCTGTGAAAGGTAGGTATACCTTGTGCTATCTTAAATCACTCATTCTTGTGGCAGTGTTGACCTCCCAAGCTAAAACACAGTTAAAGAAACCCTGCAGCTGAGATATACTTGAGATGCTGCAAATTAGTGCACTTTCTGTATGACCTTAAAGCTCTGCTTGGGACAGTGGAAGTTGTTTTTAAATGTGAGTCATTTCAGTACTTCTAAAAATCTTCTTAGCTAACACGTTCGAGATTCATTTATTTGTGGGGTGGAGGGGAAACTCAAACCACATCCTGCTTAATGCCAGTTCTGAAAATACGTTTGCTTATTTAATTAAATTATTCTTTGTTGTTAGTTGTATAGTATCTCACTTGAACAGGTATGTTTTTCATGTCTAGAAGATCACTTCTGTAGCATTACTATGTAAAGCTGTCTAGGAGGACAGCATGAAAATCACAGGATAATTTTTATTTCCCAAATGACCCTTGATGTTATACCCTTGAGTTTCAAAATCTTATGGAGTGAATGCTAATCTTCTAGTGCAAGAAAATCTCCTCTAAAAACAGAGTAAGCGCTGGGTTGCAAGAGATAGATTCATATGCTCTGCCTGGCTGTATTAACCACAGTAGATAAGACATTCCTGGGAAAAAGTGTGTCTGAATAGCAAAATGTCCATAAGTATGCAAGTATTTTGTCGTGACTAGAGAACCTTGCAGAAATGTAATGACTTTATAATTAAGAAAAGGTGGAATTAATGCAAGTTTCTGAAAAAGGAGACTCTTGTAAGACCAAATTTGTAATTTTCCTGGTTTATTCATGTTTTAACAAATACAGCTACAGAGAATCATTGGGAAGGAAGATGATTTGAAGACAGCTGGAGACGAAACAGTATTTCGGGTATGAAATAGAGATACGTTTTTCTTTACAAAAGCATTGTCATATTTCCCATGAACTTTGTTATTTTTTTTGGAGTTTTTAGATAAGTATATAAGTATCAGTATTAGTGCTTTAATTAAATGAAAGCACATGATTTGTCAACTACTTTCTAACTGGGAAAGAAAAATGTTTGTCATTTCTGAATCTCCTGATGAAATGTATGCAATTAATGTATTTTATTATGGTGTAGTCACTCCATTATTTAGTTTCTGTAAGCCTCTGTTCCAAAGTAACTCTCTTCTGTTTATGAAAAACTCAGAAAAAACTCTGTATGGCCATATGAGAAAAGATGTCTTTCCAAATAGAAATTGATACCGTAAACTTACCTAAGTGCTGCTGTTGCAGTAATATCAGTTTATTCTGAGTTGGTTTGAAATGTAATTGCTGTCATTGAGGTGACAAAGGCAAGGATTACTTTAGTTAGGTCCACTTCCAGAAAGAAATGGCTTAGATGCAGATCAGAAGAAGAAACAATCTTAGAGTATGATCTTCCAACTGGGTTAGAAGTTCCACTGGATTGCAGACCATTAGCTAATGGCAAACACAGCTTGTCAATGAAAGGAGAGGTAAATTCCTGCTCTCTTCTGGCTGTTTTCCCCTGAATCCTGCCAGTATCACCTACCTTCTTCCCCGAGTGGAGTCTTTGCTAGCTGCGATCACTTCTTCAGTCTCTAGTTAGCACAGAGACAAGATATTCTGTAGCCTGGATGAGATTGAATGAGAACTGAAAACAGAGAGGGGTAAGTCCTGAGCACACTGAAAACACCTCAGAAGACACTGATGAACTGTGGCGAAGGAGGGGGAGAGTACAGATGGATTATCTCCAGCTGTTACTATAAGGTGCTGCTTGCATCAGCAGCACTACTTTTGTTGCGTGCTTAAATTGGATAGTGTAGCTGAAGGACATTTTTCTCACCACAGACTTGCTTTCAGTTGTAAACTGAAAATGGGTGACTAGGCATGGGGCAGCGACTGCTCATGTTGGAAGCATTCAATAAGAAATTCATACAGGGCTCAGCTTTATAAACCTATCATGCATCGGCAGTTTCTAAAAAAGTTGGTCCAGCTCGTGTTCTTTGCTTTTTCACCTGCCTGGGGAAAAAATGGAAGTGGCAGTATTGCTAACACTTTTAATATTTACTAGGCATAAACAAAAACTGTTTTCTGATGCATAAAGGTTTTGCTCCCTCAATATGCATCCGGAGTTCAGTTAAAAATTGTTTGACTAACTAACAACCATCTCCTTTCTTGAATCTTTTCGTCAGTCACCAGATTAAAATAGCTAGGATTAATAGGGTTGTTTGCTCCTCAAAACCAATTTCAATTCAGACTTAACTGCCATGACAGTGAAAGAAAAAGGATCTTTATTCTGCATGAATGCACAGCTATAGTATAAAATTTCCAGAGAGACTTTGATACAGTTGGGCAGATTTAGTTATAAACACATAATCTTATTGGGAGCTAATTAAATACCTGAGCCTGAATGTCTCTATTTTGTTTTTTCTCTTGCTTCAAATTTTGTCTTCAGAACTCTCCATTGAGAAAAATCTGAAGTTATTGTAACCAGAAAATACTATTTAATATGGTTTCTTAGCAGATTATAAATGGAATTATAGTCTGTTCAAAAGAAGAATTAAATAGCTTTGGGGAGTACAGCTATCTTGAAATTCTTCTGGTCTCTATAGTTCTACTTGGCAAAGTCCAAATTATCACTTTTCTTCTAATTTTTATTTTCTTTCCTGTCTCTGTCTCTCACAAAAGAAGTTGATTATCTTTATAAGCAGTGAATCTGACTATACAATGTAATCAGTGCATATGTTTTTACCCCTTATTTTTAATAATTATGGCAGTCATAGTATTACTTTCAAGCAAAGCAGATAAAGCATAAAAATATGGCTTTTAAGTTGACTGTGTTCTTTGAAAGCTGAGATACTGCAACAGAAGTTTGGTGTTTGGGATAGTTCTTTATTTCCACAACGCTTTCACAATTTGCATATGAGTTTTCTGGTTTTTCAAAGTAATCCCAGTCTCATACCAGATGGAAAACATGAAAAACATGACTTATGAAAATAAGGTATAAATGGTAGTCTGCAACTTTATTTAACCACCAGGTATATCCAGGTATGTTCCCTGTCCAGTGTGTAGACAGAGGTCCCAGTCATTCATTTACTGTATGGAGATACCAGTTAATACTCATTGAGATACTGTATTAGGAAAAGAAAAAGCAGTTCGTTTGCTGTGCTCCCAGAGTGCTTGTATCTCTGCCTCTTTTACTGAGACTTTGACTTACGCATCTGAAATTCAAAATTTCACCACTTAGTAGTGGCCCTTGAATGGGATTGCAGTGGACTTTGTTATCCAGATAAATGTATTTCAGTTGAGGGATTTTCTTTTTCCAATATCATAATTGATGCTGGAAGAAAAGCCAAAAAATCTGCCCAGCCTTAACCGGCCCAGTCTTTGGGAATTTCCTTGCTGACTTTTGCAGAGCAAGCAGTCTGATTTACTCATAGCACAGGCATGCATGCACACACTGAAGGAGAGATGCAGGCAGACTTAGAAGACTGGCAACCTGGTTCTTTCTAACTAGACTGGAGAAAATGGTACAGAAGTCAAAAGAGGCAGTCACTATCTCACCTCACCCATCTACCCATAGGCCAAAGGAAATGGTGCACCTGGCTTCCTAGCACAACTGTTCTGCTTCACATGAGACATCCAGCTGAGCATTTGACCATGCTTCGTGGAAGAGGAGAGGCAGACTGCTTGTCTAGAAGTGGTGTAGAGTGTTATAGGAAAGTGCATGAGCTAGAAGAGTTTGGTGTATTTTGAAAAAGGTGTTGCCCAGTGAACAGCACTAGTTGCTTTTGTATTAATGCCCTGAGTTCCTTAAAATAGTGGTACATAGTTCCTTAATAGTGGTACATGCATTAGCATTCTGGTAGTGAAAACAATGCTAATGGTTGCAGATACCTACTGTACAGCCCAGTCGTTTAGATCAGGGACTTTGCTCTTGGGTCCTTCAATTTAGATTAATGAGTTATCAAGTAGTTTCAGTACCTCTAATTTAATATGCTTTGTATAATGGTTAAACTTAGAAGTTAATTTTAGCTATTGTTAGGAAAGGAATGACAATACAGAATGTTCTGTATTTGTTCTTAAAATGGAATTCATGTTGGGAAATAATATGTACGTTGTCTTATTTCCAAATGATTAAACATATGCTTCTGGATTCCATAATGAACACATTTTCAGACAAAGTATCTCATTTACATGGGTTTTTTTAAACATTTAACTAGTACGTGGGGACCCAGCTATTAATCTCTTTTAAACAGAAAACTTTTGAACTAAATTCAGTCTGACTATAAGCAGTATACTTTTAGACCCACACATGGATATTTTCCTATTGATTGTGTATTAGTTGTTTTAACATGTCTACTTTTCTTTCTTCATTATTCATTCACACATTTATCACCACTTAGCTGGTCAGCACAAGGTTTTACACTTGGACCTTTAGACATTGCAGCATTGTGATGCATCTCCTCAGCCACAGAGACTGGGCGGGCAGATAGGCCAGACTGCCTATCTGCTCCCTAGAATTTCAAACTAATTTAAAGGTTTTTTTACCTGTAGCTTCAAAGTCTGTAAAGCCCTGGGCCCAGAATAACTAAAGACTGCCTAAACTGAAGGGAGGAAGATGGTGGTTGACAGCTGTGCTCTTCTAGTGCAGTAATACTCTGTAACAGAGTTGCAGCATATCTGTGCAGCACATTGAATTTTGCCAGAATCTGGTCCAAAACTAAAATTAATATCCCTCCCCAAAAGAGTGTGTCATTAATCTTGTCACCTCTCAGTTCATATGGAATGCACATTTTTTTCTTAACCTGTCTTCTCCAACATAAATGTATATGTTTTGTATCAGCAGATTGAGTTCTGTTGAAAAGCTTTTAGATACTTTAAACCAAGGAGTATTGCAATGTTCCTGCATGCTTTAAAGGAAGCTCTCCAGGCACGTAAACCCCATAAAGAACCAAGCCATGTGGCATCAAAATATGCCACAAATATTAACAAACTCTTGGGTCATTGTTTACCTCACAGACAAGGAAAATATTTTATTTTTTCCACTTGATCTGATGACATTATAACCTCAAGAGAGGCAAAGAAACATACTTTCAGACATCTTTTTAGGTACCTATTTTGCTAGTACATTGAATTTCGATAGCAAAAGTCTCTCCCCCGAGGAATTCATCTGGAAGCCTGTTGTGGTCACAGTAGCATTGCTTTCCATTGTGCAGATGTGTGAGGCAAGGCTACCCCTTTAGTCTCTGCTACTTAACCTAGTCTGAAGTGCTTTAAATTATATAGCTAGAGAAGCCAGATAGCAGTGTGGGCTCCTGACAGGCCAGGGAAAACACGATTTGGCTTTGCACTAACAGCTCTAGTCCTCAGTTCAAAACAGTAAGAATCTGGTCATAATCTCTGAAGGCTACCTAGTGCATTTGCTTGTAAAATTAATTGGAATAAACTGGAAATGGTGCACGTAAGCATGCTCACTTGGCATTTTGTGATTACTGAAACTTGGGATGGCAACCTGAACGTGGACTACCTGGGGACGCGTTCGGACAGCGGGGCGGGGGAATTGGACATAGTCCATCAGGAGTCAGTTTTAGCACCGAGAGCAAGGAGGTTTATGCATGCTGAGAATGGGTGTGCTCTGCCTTTGAAGCCAAGTCCATGTTAATCAAAAGAGCATGCTTCACTGAACGTCATACTTCCTGAGGGTGGGTCCTCATTACAGATTCTCTACTTTTTACGGAAATTAATATTTTTAAAGTATGGAATGACAGGGAGGCAGGGCCTGAATTCTTGTGAGGGACTGTCCCCAGCTGTGTATAGAAGCTGCTTTTCCCAGCTGCCAGCACAGCACCGGTCAGGCAGCCTCAGGCTTTGCAGTGCAACAGTGCCATTCCCTGACTGCTTGATGCAGCAGGATTTGGTCCCTCTCAACCTGCTGGCAACAAGACTAGTTTTAACCTGTTCCTGTTTTTTTCATAAAGTATCTCCTACAATGTCTGCTCCTAGATTAGTTTTAGCCCACTTGGCTGGAAACCGTTTTTATTCTGTACCTCTGTGAACTGATGCAGAACCGTGGGTGACACACTGAAAGCTGAGGACGTCCATGAAGTTACATCTTCTTCCTTGCTAAAGCCACTAATGGTACAGCATAGCAATTCCATGGCATCAGTTGTCATTAAAAAACAACTAATCCCCAGGTAATGGGAATGCTGGATGTTGTTGAATGCTGCATATAAGCTGTTTATTGCTTAGAAAACAGTCCGTCGGATTTCTTCTCAGATACTGTCTGTTATACCCTCTGTAGAAAAAAAATGTGCACAGTTTACCCTGTCTGTATCAGATCCAATGTATTCTTGAATCCTACCTCGTAAGAAAGTGCCTTGCAAAACATTAAAAACTTCAGTATTGATTTACATGATTAAAGCTGATTCATGATAAAATGCTATATTGTTCATTCTGGCATCCACTTGAGGCTGTCTGGGCTTTGCCAAAAAAGACTGCTTTTGGAGATCTGGATCTCCTGGTCTCACTAGCTTGCCTGTTCACAGTTCTTTTGACTAGCTGTACCTGGCAGGATTAATTTCATAATGGATACATCTTTTAAACCTTCTTCACAGAACTGAGTTGTAGGTCAAGGTCAGGTTGGACAGGGCTCTGAGCAACCTGATCTAGCTGAACATGTCAACTTCAAGCTCGAGAAGTGGGTCCGAGTGAACCTCATGAGGTTTAACAAGGCCAAGTGCAAGGTCCTGCACCTGGGTTGGGGCAACCCCCAGTATCAAT